TATATATATATATATATATATATATATATATATATATATATATATATATATGTATATATATATATGTATACATGTATTTATACACTAGTGAATTTAATAGTAAAGATAAATATAAAGTAACGTTATCGCCACTAACAATATAAGTATAAACAACCGGCTGCACCAGCAAACATAAGCAGAAAAAATTAGAGTCGAGGGACAGTATACACGGCTGAAGCTAGCAACGCATAAACATATGAATTTAACATAAAAAAAATAGATATAGCTAAGTAAATTACACACCAAAAATAAATATAAACAAATTAATTTAATAGCCCCTGGGTGCGCCGCCGTTTCCATACAAACGATACAGAGAGGTAGATAAGTAGAGACAGAGATAAAGAGAAAGAACGAGGGAAAACAGAAAAAGAGAGAGAGAGAGAGGGAGAGAGACAGATAGAAAGATAGATGAACAGAAACACATATGCATAGACAAACGCCTCACTGCATACAGAGGGGCCGCCAGGCTGCTAAGCCCCTCTCCTCCTGCACGCACGTTGCCTGCATTCTTCCTCAAGAGAATACTGTGGGCCAGAACGAAAGTAAAGAACAGCAAAACAAACAAAAAAAATGAAGTCAAGAGAAGTACAGTGGTGTTGCCGCGGCGGTCTGCGGTGTATAGTACTGTTGAACGGCTTTCTGGTAGCGTTGCCTAGCTAGCTAGCGAGAAGGGAGTGGCTAGGCCGCTAGCTAGCGAAAAGACTACGGCCAGGTAGCTAGCTAGCCAGAAGGCTGTGAACACAGTTCTACTGTTAGCTAGCTCGATAGGATTTTGGCTAGATAGCGGGCAAGCCAGTGAAGGTTTGCTCTGTGGGTACGCGGAGAGGAAGAGCGTGAGTAAGAAAAAGGTAAAGGCCCAGGCTGNAGTGAAGGTTTGCTCTGTGGGTACGCGGAGAGGAAGAGCGTGAGTAAGAAAAAGGTAAAGGCCCAGGCTGGGTATTATATTATATTGTCTGTTGTCCCCAAAACAACCAAAAGAAAAGCAAAACCGCCCTGCAGCTTCGTGCGCTGCAGATATCCCTCAGTGTCGTGGGGGGTTATTAAACGGCAAAGACCAGGTCGGAATGCATCCAAAAATAATAAAAGTGGAAAGAACAAGGCATTGACGATCGTTTGCATGCGGGGCGTGAGATGAGGTGTATATACACCTCAAGCGAGAGAAAATGAGTTCACACGCCGCCAGCCTATTATTATATGCAAGACGGAATGTAACTAAGCAGCACCTGAGCCGTTCATGTTGTACTTTTGGGGTGTATGTATAGAGAACGACTCGAGTGCATACAGTGCATACACACCAGATGAAGTGTATGCACTAAACATGAATTGTTAAAGCGATGGAAGGCGAAATAAAACACAAGGTCAGATGATAAGTCCATCAGGTCCTGCTGTGCGTATTTTGGCGAGGGTAACGACAAATAAATTTTTGTCTTTTAGGGAGGGGAAGAAGAAAGGAATACAGTTGCCTGTAGCCGCGAGGTGTATAGCCACACAGAAATCCCCTGGTGTTATGCCTGCAGAGCAGTCTACACGCTGCAGCTGTTCAGGTGTATGCAGTACACTCTTCACTGAGCTCAACTCCACCTTGCGGCTCTTGCGATCGCAAGACAACTCCAATGACTTGTTGTCACTGCTCAGCTTCGCCCTGCACTCAAGCCGAGACTTGTCCTGATACACACGCAACACACAANCTTGTTGTCACTGCTCAGCTTCGCCCTGCACTCAAGCCGAGACTTGTCCTGATACACACGCAACACACAACATATTTCCTCTTATACATTATATACATATATATATATATATATATATATATATATATATAATGTATATATATATTTATATAGGGGACTACCTGAAACAGTATAAGCCTTCATCTTCTATGTGAAGGAATTCATACTAAGGCCTCAACCCGCAACCCTATAAGTGCTGATATTCTGCTTAAATGCCTTGAGGTTTAACCCCGGGCACTACAGTATAGATCCTAGAGCCTCTACGCAGCGAGCAGTCACCGTTCAGCCATAAGCGCAAGCACAATCATGCAAAAGAAATAAACAACATATATCATAGAGACAATCGAGTGAGGCAAGTACTAACAAAACAACAGACACAACAAAATTTTATCAAGCGACAGACGAGCGAAACAACGCAATCGATATGCACGCATTGGCGGGGGTAGTGGGGGG